CCAATAACAAAAAAAAAAGTGTTAAAATTCATACTAACAGGAAAATTCGGATATGCATATCTGGACTACACCTAACTTCGTCTGAAGATGCATATCCGTATTAAACGTCTATTTTTCATCACATATTCAAGATTAGTGCAAGGAATAAAGAATGAAATTAATGATCTTTACCAGCAATTCCAACTTGTTTTTCTCCCTTTGAAGTGATGAAATACAAGAACGATGTTTTGGTGTTGAAAAGTTGATTCAGAATGAGAGAATTTTTTTAAGGGTTTTGAAATGAAGTTTATTTTTCAAACGGACTCGCTTGTCAAAGGGTGCAGAGCAAGAGGATCTTACTCATTTATTATGGATTTATGCCATTATTCCATCTTGGGTACCAAGCACTCTGAAGGAATTTGCTGTTGTCGTGACTAATGATGATTTAACTTTTGTACGAAGCTTATTTGTAACTGATAGACAATTTTTTTTGTAGATGTTTCATGTACCTTATTCAGGGTCACATTCGCAAAAAAAAAACCACCTATCAAGGGAGCAAGATGAGATATAGGAAAAATGTAAGGCCCTTGAGCGGGGTAATGTTAAAGTTAAGAAGGAGTTAGTCGAACTACGGGTGAAAACCGAATTGACCGACTCTTTGCGGGAAGAGGTAGATCAATATGGTCTTCTGTCCACTTTGGTTTCTCAAATAACGAGGTTGAAAGTGGCTCGGGTGCTTGGCGACAGGCCATAAGTTTGAGGGTCTATGTGTCACCTTTTCTTTTTATTTCGAGCCTCATTTTGTAAGCAACATTTATTTTTATTTATGTCTTTACCTTTCACATGCTTGTGCTTTTTGATTTTGTATTTCTCTCTTTTAAACGGTTGTTTCCAGCAGGCTGAGATTCGAGGAGAGCTAGGGCTTGCTTTCAAGCCCTTGAAATTTCACCATTTGTTTGATATAGAGAGCAATAAATAATATTTGCTCAAAGTATAAATAACATCAAGTATTTCATAAGGTCATGTATGGCTACTATGTTTATGAGCATGTTGTGTTAAGATGTATGCATTGTTTATGAGAGATATCGAGCCAATAGAATGTGGCTATAATTGGAACTTACTTGCATATGCAAAGAATTGATTCAATTTACTTTATTCGTGAGTGCCGGTGAGACATGAGCTCATCTTAAAGTGTTTATACTTTAAGCTTGCACCTATAATAATTTAGCATGACACTAACTAGGAGCGACTTTGCTTTGGATTATTTTCATAGGAATAAAGCATGAGCCCAGTTAAATGCAATTATGCTTTAAATCACACTTACAGGCGAGGTACATGAAACCGACTAGACGCTGCCATGATTTTCAAATAGTGTTCCACGTCACAGAGGATCATTTCCCGACCAAGGGTAGAGGATCCCTGTACCTCTCCCCAAGGTTTTAACTCAAATCGAGGTGGATGTCTCCAAACTCCACCATTTACGTCCCTTGAATTGGATAGACCCTAAGGGGGTGCACTAGCTACACAAGATTGCGTGTAGTTCTTTGACAGAGGGTAATTGTATGTGGTATTTGAACGTGCAAAGCGTCTTTGATAGAACCCCGGGGGAATTGGTTAATGTAGTCGGGCGTGCAAATAGTTTCTAACAACTCCCTTGGATTCTAAAGGACTCAAGGTGTTGTGGGGATTAATTTCTATAGTTGAACGTCCAAAGCGTCTCCGATAACACCCTTAGACTTTGAAGCCCAATTAGACATTGAGGGGTTGATTGCTTTAGTTAGACAAGCAAAGTGACTCTAACACCACCCATGGAATATTTATGTGAATAAAACACTGATGGGATTTGATTGTTTTGGTCGAATGGACAAAGCGTCTTCAACAACACCCCCAGAATCCAGAGTCATGTGTTAATTGCATTTGTTGTATCCAGTTTTTTGTTACATGCACTTGTGTTTTGGTTCCCTAAAGAAGGGACAATGCAAAAAACAGAGTAGTAAGAATATAATCGAATATATATATATATATATATATATATATATATATATATATATATATATATATATATATATATATATATATAATTATTATATCAATAATTTTAATTTACAAGTGCGTTAATTAAATCTTGCAGTTAGACGCAAGTGTATATTGATCGCTTGCCCTTAGATAAGTTTTCCAGGTGGCTTGATGGTCGGCTAATCTGGAATACGAGTCCTCAGCTTGGTGGATGAGAGACCTCTGACTAATGAGTCCGACCTTGCTTTTCGATTTCAAGTGAACTGACACCTTTAGACGTGGATCTTTTTTGGGATGTATTAGATGCTCAAATATTTGTCTGGGGACCGATGAGATTCTAATTGGTATTTGTGGTATTCGGTGGAACAAAAATCTCGACTTTAGGGAACCTCGATTCTTTCACCGAAGGTGTTTTTAGATTCAGATTTGAGAATTGAACTAGATTTCATGGAAATTGTAGGAATTGAAAACCGATTCCCACAGATAGCGTCGTTGTTCCATTGTGGAACTAGAAATGGAGGGAATCACGAAATCTACGGTGAATAAAAGCTAATTCTCTCTTGATTTCCTTGACGCGGTACCGTGGATCGAAGGTCGCGATCTCGATGCTTCTTAAACCTAAAGAATTGAGCTTGAATCTACGTTGTTGATCAGTGTTAATCTAGAATTGGCATTGCTAATCTCTGATATGATAGTTTAGAAAAGGGGTACATGCATGATTAACACTCCAATATCCAAGTCAACTTAGTGTTTGGGATAATCGCAATGAGAGTAGAGATTAGAGATTGTGTATTTGAAAACCCTTTATGAAGGTATTAATACCTTTGGCTTGATGGAGAAAATGTTATAAGTGAGCCTCATGTTATTGGGTCTATGGGCGGTGCAAAGCAGTGGGTCCCTAGACCTTTGGTCGACACGTAACAGAATCAGAGACCTGATATTATCATTAAATCGAGAGATGAAAACGGTTAAAATTTTCATGAAAAATACAAGAAGGAAGAAATCATCAAGAAAGTGAATAAGTTAACTGAACTATTAAAAGATGAAGACATGAGCTCAAATCTAGAAGAATCTTTAACCACTTCATCAAAGAACTCTTTTGGAAAAAAAAAAAGAAGAAAAATTATCTCCAGCATTATCCTTTGAGAAAAAAATCTCGGTGGTTGAAAGATCCTCTTAAGACTTAACATCCGATGGAGAAACTTCATCAATAATAGATAATAAAGAAGAAGAAGATTAACCAGTGGAATACTAGAAAGATGAAATGAGAAAGAAAAGTCTCAAAATAATGTCGAAGAATCAACCTCTAGTAAAACCTTCAAAGAATCTTCCTTCAATGAAGAAGATGAACTTTGCTTGAAATCTTCTCACGAAGATGATGACTGTGAGATAATAAAGTTATCATACAAGGAACTATTTAAATTAAGTGCTAAGTTAATCAAAAAAATTGATAAGATTAAGAACTGTAACTTAGATCTTAAAGACTATCTCAAGTTTCTAGAAAAGATCAATGAATCACTAAAAAATGAAATGGCTAATATTAGAAACCAAACTAGTAATTGTGAGACTTGTTTCTCAATGAAAAACGAAGTGAAAGATCTGCATGAAAACCTAAGTTAATTTAGTAAGGGGAAAGATAACCTAGATTTGATTCTATCAATTCAAAGGCCTTCCTTGAATAAAACTGGATTAAGATTTACGTCTGGTAGATCACATAGCAAAAGTTTTAATGGGAATAAATTCAATGTCCTTGTTTAAAAAGGCTCTTATTGTGATAAATTTTGCCACTTGGAGCCATTTTGTTTCGATTAGCTGAGAAAGTCTAAGAGTGGTAACCATATACCTCTTAGAACAACATTGATTAAAGATAAGGTTCATAATTGAAAATTACTTTATGTCAAATAAGGTTCATAATTGAAAAACACTTTATGTCAAATCACTCTATGTCAAATAAGGTTCATAATTGAAAATGTGGAACTATTTCAACTACCTCCAAAAATAGCACCAAGACCACGACAACAACCAGAGGACACCGACCTTCCTCGTCCAACTATATCCTCAACAATCTCCTATAGAACCAACCAGAGATGATAAGGATGCAAAGGAGGACAAACTCAAGGATTCGTCGTCTCACAGAAAAACATACAAAAACCTAACTCATGTCCCCAATCGTATGCAATGAGGATGATAAGGAGGCAAATTAATTATTTGTTTATTTTGAATGTTTTACTTTATTTGTTTTGTTGTTTTATTTTTTGTACTACGTCTGTTTTTAACTAATAAAATATTTTTCATTTGATCTTATTTTTCTTTTCTTTAGTAAAAAAATATTTGACTATTTGTTATATATGTTAAAGATTCACTTTTAGTGTCTATTATCTTTATCCGTCTTTTTGATTATGACAAAAGAGGAGAAAAATATACTATACTTATTAGAGGTGGAATTTAACCACTCAAAAGTTCACCTTTCTATTTTATTTTACCACCTCTCTGAGAAATAGTTCTCATCATCAAAAAAAGAAAATGTGGATCTATGTATTTGCAAATATAATAAAAAAGTGATCCAAAACAACAAAGCCTTAGGATAGTAAGATGCAAGGCGATCAATAACTACTTAAATCTTGATAATGTCATAAATGTAATAATTAATACATAGTTTTGATGATTACAACACTTAAAAGCAAGCAACCGTGCAAATAGAAAAAACCAACAAAAATTAAAAACATTAGGAGTGTAAAATGAATTATAAGTGCGGTTTACGACTTCCATTCTTTTGGAAATAAAGTGTTGGTCTGCGGCCCATAACGAGAGTCCAACACTGTCCAAATAATAATATTCTGATCTGACCGGGGAAGGAAGAAACAGCGAAACGCCTTAACCCTAATTTTCTGTTCATTCATCAAACAAAATTTCCCAAATCAGAGAAAGATATCCTCATCGATTAACCTTCTGAATCACGTTCCGTGGAAAGAGAGACTAATAAAAAATTGAAGAACAAGACCAAAATGGTGCGAATTCTCTTTCTATTATTTTTCCCGTTTTGTTGCATGAGATCGATTAGGATTAGGGTTTTTGCTTAGAACGTTGCTTGTACTCTTTTTTTTCGTCAATACTCTCTTCTTCGTGATGGTAATGAATTTGTCCTTTGGTGTTTGATTTTGGAGTTCAGATCTTATCAATTTACTCCTTTCAAAGTTTAGGAATCAAATTGATGGATGTTTGTATCCTTCAAGAACCCCATTATTGTTTAATTCTTTGTTTTATCTTGATTATTTCGATTTGCTTGATGTTATGTTGATTGTTGAGAGCTTGGAGTAAATTGTGGGGTGTGTCATTCTCCGAGTTGATTGGACGAAAAGGGGCTTGTTTAGCTGAATAATAATGAAATAGTATATGTTTGGTTTTCTATTAGTATGTTACAGTATAGTACCATTAGGAATTAACATGAAAAGAACAAATCCTAAGTTAAAGTAGATATAGAAAAAGTATGCATTAGGTTTATAGACACCAAACATACTGTTATTTATTTAACTAGAGTGGCATTCGTCCCAGTCACAACTCATCAAAACCCCCTTTTCAGTTACTGCCAAATTGCAACTTAAACTTTGTAGCAATCCCATCCCCTTTCCTGCTTAGATAACACTATCCGATGTTTGAATTCACATCTAGGTGCCCCACGAAGTTGTTGGGCATTATAACAAGAAAGGACACAACAGAGGGCTTGCATATGACATTGTGCTTTCGGTTTCTATTAGTTACAAAAAATGTTAAAAAATTTAAAAACCAACTAAGCCTGTTGTTTTTATAAAAAATAGATGATGTGGCTTGATTGTGGAGCGAGTCTTGCTTAAGAGTTTGACTGTAGCATTCCTCATATAGATATAGCGTCATTGTATTATGCTTTAGATGCCCCAGTAATACGTGGCCGTGGCGAGTGAACAGTGTATTCCTAATGCTATGGTTATTGATTATATCCGTCTCTTACAACATTGATATTGTATAATGTATTTACGACAGTGTTGTCAAATATCAATATCGTAAAATATCGGGCATATCTCCTTTTCAGATAGTGAGGCATATCTTTCATTTTTTTCAATTGAATCAATATCCTCAAATTCTACTCCTAATTCTTCGATGACATGATCTTCCACTTCAATCACTTGTAGCTTTCCCTTCCTAGATGAAGAACCAGCTGACTGCTTCTTTGTTTTAGATGAAGTGCCAACAACATTAGGGTTCAGAGTTTCTTTTCTCTTTTTAGTTGTTTGCCTAGTATGTCTTGTAGGCTCTCCAACTCCTCCAACTCCTGAAGCTCTAAAAACAACTTCCCAATTAAGGGCATCCTCATCAATCTCCTCCTCAAAGACTCTTTCACTCCCAACATCAACTTCATCACCATCCATCATCCCCATCAGCCACTTCATCACCATCCATCATCCCAATCAGCCACTCATTACACGAGTCAATGAATGAATTTACAGGACGAATGATCAAGGTAAGGTATGTATAATACCAGGCACCAACTCAGTATGAAAGAGGAGAATGAACAGGTCGGACTCACAGATCCAGTAGCCCACATTTTTCCTTTTTAATGTTTCCACCTCTTTAGATTCTACTTTTTCACCTCTTAACCTTACCTCTTTAATGTTTTTAAAAATGATTTATTATAAAAAAAATGATAGTAAAAATATGGCTTCCGATATTCCATTCATTACCGGTATACCGGTATACCGGAAAATGATTTTTGTATGATATTAATCTGTAATAGATTTCTTCATTTTTCAAAATGGCCTTAGAATTATGTACATGTTTGGTTCATCTAATTTGAGTGCTTATGGATATATATGATGAATTTTTATTTTGAGCGCCTACTCTAATCCTTTTTTCTGAAACAGGAAAAAGCCGTCTTCAGTTCTTCAATGGCTTCTTTGCTACAAAAATTTCTGAAAAAACAACCGTCATCAAGACTCACCACGGCTTTTCGCCCTTTCCAAACAGCAAACTCCACCTTTCCAAATAATCAAGAACAGGGCCTGCCCACTGAACCCTTCCAAATAAGCCCAATAATAACGCATCAATTTGTTGGATCCTCTAGTTCAACATTGATCTTCCCTAGTTTCCCTTTTGGGTTTGCTTTAAAACCTGTTTTTGAAAATGGGATTCTTTCCCATCAGTCTGAGGATACTGAACTGGAAGATTCTCGAACCCTTTGGGCTGATAGCGTGAAGAAGAAGCGGAAGAAGAAGATGAACAAACACAAGTATCAGAAGCTTAGGAAGCGGATGAGGAGACAAACATAGGTGGGGGTTCGACTGTTTGAGGAGGCTTGTGAGTTATGAATTAGTTTTTCTGTGATAAAATGAAATTGTGATATTACATTATTTCAGTTAGTTTATAGTGGAGGAAAAAACAGTTGCTGAAAGTGGAATGATGTTTTAAATTTACTTTGATTCCAATTGTTTTGGTATCTTGTTTTTGGATGTAATGACCACCGTTTCTTGATGATCTTTGGCTTGAGAATGTAAAACTCATTAAAGAGCAAAAATATCACAGTTGATTTTGGCTTATTGGCTCAGAGTTGTACAGAAAAATTGCTTAATAAATGCTCTTTGCTTATGCAGTTGTTTGTTTTGGGACCCTAATATTTTACTAATAAGTCAGTGTATTTGATCCATGGGAGCAAGATTCAGTCCATATTTGGTTTTTTTATATTTATTAATGCGAGCAAGGTCCATTTTTCAAAAATGACTTGCTCTTATGTTGCTACTTCAACGACAGTTGAAGTTATATTAAGTGACAAGTATTATGATGCATGTATTCCTTTATTGATTCCAGTTTTTATTGTTTGTTTATATTATATCGGTTTTATTTTGGGTCCAATATGTTTAAATTGAACACTTCTTTTGTCTCATTCACTTTTTTTTTTAAAAATGGAATGATATAAATGATTTCATGTTGTTCTCAAAAATTGTTTTCTCTAGCTCTAAAGGGGTTTTTAGTTTTCATGCTTCTTTTGTGCCTTCTACTCCATGGTATTTTAAGGGTGAAGGTTTTAAAGGAAGTGTTTCTTCAGAATTTAGAGATGCATTTTCAGTCATTTTTTAAAGATAAATTAAGGGTCTCATTAACGAAGTGTTAAAATGTGTATATATAAAAAAATGTGTTTGGAGATATATTTTCGAATACTAAAAACAATTGTAATTTTTTTACAAAGTAACAACCCCATAAGTTATACAAATATGGATATGTAGACCTAAAGAGGAATATATCTAACACCTCGAATCTGTACTAGGCACCCCCACATAATTTCTCATTTGATCATAATGCCCTTAATAGTATACTCCCACATAATTTCTCATTTGATCATAATGCCCTTAAAAGTTAAAAAATCAATTATTCAAATTCAAAATTTAATTTTTCAAATATTTTTCCAAAAACTTTGTTTCTTACCGAATATTTGCTAAAAGCACTAGGTACTTATAAGTAAACTTTGTTTTTCATTAAATTACATAGTAATATTTTTGATAGAATATCAGAAATTTAAGAAAAAACATATTTTTTTATCACATTTTTTAAATTCCTGGTATATCAACAATTTAGAAAAATCTAGTATAATATCATATTTTCATTGTATTTTTATTGACAATTTTAAAAAATTCGATATGAAAATTATGTATTTTTATCGATAATTTTAAAATTCCTAATAGAATTGTATATTTTATACTGCATGTTGATAAAATGTCAGTAAAAACACATGCTTACATATGAAAAGTTTTAATTTGTCGATAGATGTAGAGGTGTGAAAGAATATTCATTTGATAGGTTGATTTTATTTTATTTTTAAGTTTTTGAATTTTTTTTTGTCTGTAGTGTGAGGAAGAGGAAGGTACTTCTAGATTAAGCGAGAGAGCAAAGAGAGCTGTTGCATAGAGATCTGGTAGAGGAGACAAACATGATGGAGAAAGTCATTAGTAGACTATGGTAAGTAGAGTAGTCTCACTCATTCTTAGCCTAAGAAGATTGAGTAGTCTTGCAGACCACGTACTTTCCAACGTAGAGGAGGTAGAGTTGGATGGACGAAAGATTATAATGCACTAGATGTTGTAAGTAGAGTAGTCTCACTGATTCTCAGCCTAAGAAGATTGAGTAGTCTTGCAGACCACGTACTCTCCAACGTAGAGGAGGTAGAGTTGGATGGACGAAAGATTATAATGCACTAGATGTTGTAAGTAGAGTAGTCTCACTGATTCTCAGCCTAAGAAGATTGAGTAGTCTTGCAGACCACGTACTCTCCAACGTAGAGGAGGTAGAGTTGGATGGACGAAAGATTATAATGCACTAGATGTTATCGTTGTTGATGTTGAGGCATATGTGACACTTTAGGATGATACGAAGATTCTGGCTTAAATTGATACAAAGGTTTTTGATCTAGCTAATACTGAGGTGTTGACACAGGTTGATAGAGAGGCGTCTATTTAGGCTGTCACAAATAAGGGATTTTATGAAGATCCCTCTGACCCTACTTTGCTCATTGGGTATGCTTATCATATGACATGTAGATTATGATAGGGAGAGAAAAAAAATATTGATTTAAGTTATTTTTTATTAGTAGTTAATTAAATGTAACTAATTATGTATGCTTTATTTATTACAGGAGCACTCTCTATCATGGGTCGAAGTTGAAACAAAATCTCTAAGGTGCCAATGTCTGTGATAAGATCAAGACGATTGACGTTAATGCTGATATACTGTTGTTGATGGATTGTCTGCTCACTATGTTTGATACTCATAATATCGTCAATAAATCTCGCAATTGTTACATCTATCTTAATTAAATCCTTTATTTTGTATTGATAAAACATATTTCATGTAACTCTTAAATCTTTATCCATCTCCAATTTAAATTTACTAAACCTAATTAGATAGATTTTTTGCAATTAAGTGTGTTGAAATTGCTGAGAAAACACTGAAAAATAGGTGGAAACAAATCTGACCAATTTAAACTTCAGACAGAATTGGAAAAATGTTCCCCTTAAATAAACCAATTGTATGTCTATTTCAAATAAATTTAATTGTGTAATTCTTTTTAAGAAAATGATTAACTAATAAATATGATTAAGGACATAATATTAATAAATAAATAAATAATAATTTATTTTGAATTCTAGAAATGATCAAACTACATAAAATAAAGTACAAATTTTGTTATTAGAACGACTTTTATAAAATGAGACAATCATTTAGACTAATACATTGAAGCCACTAGTATTAAATACTAGTATTTAATTTTTGTAAGACTTGGAGAATATCACGATTGAATTGAGTCATTGGTTTGATGAGTCTAAGAATTAGCCGAAAGTGAAAGTGAAAATGAAAGATGGAAACTTAGATGTATAAGTATAAAAGATGAAAGTCAATGGTAAGCATAAAAAGAATGAATTTATATTTAACAAATTAGTGGAAATTAGTTTATGTATTTTTTATACTTACATTTACTATAAGAGGCTAGTCTTAATTAATGGTCAAAATTAACTTACTTTAATCTTATCTTCAATTCTTGATTGTTTATTATGGTATTGTATGGCCAGAAACTTTTCTCTAAAATATATTATAGGTTATGTAATTCTCAATAGATATTTGTTGAATTTAAATGCATACTAGTATATAGAAACATTCATTTGGACCACATGTATATGAAATTCTCAATAGCTATGGAATATTTAATGGTTTAGATCTTTGTTATATTTCGACCAGAAATAGAAGATTTAGCTAGCTAGTGTTGGTTGGTATAATTGAGTTGTGTCATAATTGTATTTTTATAAATTACCCTAAATTAAATTATATAAGAGGTTTTGAGTATTTTAAACGAATTAAGAAATATATGGGATAATAGAGGATATGTTAGAAAAAATAATTAATGTTATATTGGAATTTTAAAATAATTTATGATTTGGGACAATTTTTTTATAAAATGGTAGACAATAATTAATTGTGATTCTAAAGAAACTTGCATGCATTAGTTGAATTAAGTAGCTTGATTTCGAGGAAAAAAATTATTCAATTTAAAATAAAATTTAATTTAAAATAAAATAATTTGTATTTCAATTTGGTTTTAAATGACTAGTTAAAATAATTCATAATTTAATTTAAATCAATATTTCAATATCTAGATTACAAGTTATAATTTTTTTATTTATATTAATATTATAAAAATACTTTGTTTGAAGTAATATAAAACAAAATAGTATATTAAAAATTAAAATTATAAAAAAATAAGAAAAATCCATCATATTTGAAAGAAAGAAATATTAAAAATAAATAAATAAATAATACTAAAAATAATTAAATATCAACAAATAGTAAATTAACAGAATATATCGTACTAATAGAAAATAAATAACTAAATAGTAAAATATATGAATTCACAGTTTATTTTGAATCATATCAAAAATTCAATCTAATTGAAATTTGATATGACATAAACAATTTTAGCAAGAGAGAATCCATCTAAAACTATTCCATTTTTATTTTTTTATTTTTTTATGATTTTGATTTTTTTAATTGATTTGTAGTAATTTTTATTTGGATAATTTGAATGACCTAATTCAAATAACTTACCCAAACATGGTTATAGTTGCTATCTATGTCCTATAGTCACAAAACACCATGCTACTAATTGAGTATTATAGCGACAAATTAATTGGAAACCACATAAAATTTTATGAGTTACACATGCCTCTCTACACAAAACAAGATTGCCTTAGAAGCTCCACCTTCACATATCATTACCATTTGACATAATTATTTCTTATAATACACCTCAATTATTTGTCGTACAAACAAAACACCTCATCATCATTTTGCATTGCAAATCTTCTTAATCACCTAAAACCTCAACTGTGTAAACACTTATACTAGTCAAATAACAATACTCATAATTTCTCACATGGTTAAGGATCATGTTCATATTTTTTGGAAAAGGAAAAAAAACAATAAAGTTTGTTTTATCATCATTACTTGTTTTGTGCTCAATAAAGGTAAGGTATAGTTCACGCTGAATTAATTGTTCTCAAGTGAGTTTAACAACGTACTTAATATTAATTAATTAATTAATTAACACGATACTACAATCGAGTAAGCCATCATCATAATATACATGCATGCTAATTTCCTCTATTTTATTTTTCATTCTTTCACTCATTTTCTAAGCAATCTTTATGTAATTTTTATTGCTATCAAGTACTGCTAATCATTTATCAGGCTCCAAATAAAATAATTAAAAATACAGAAATGTATAAAA